CTCCCCATCTCTCTCTTTCTCCTCCCCATCTCTCTCTCCCTTTCTCTCCTCCCCATCTCTCTCTTTCTCCTCCCCATCTCTCTCTTTCTCCTCCCCATCTCTCTCTTTCTCCTCCCATCTCTCTCTTTCTCCTCCCCATCTCTCTCTTTCTCCTCCCCATCTCTCTCTTTCTCCTCCCCATCTCTCTCTTTCTCACTCCCCATCTCTCTCTTTCGTCCTCCCCATCTCTCTCTTTCTCCTCCCATCTCTCTCTTTCTCCTCCCCATCTCTCTCTTTCTCCTCCCCATCTCTCTCTTTCTACCTCCCCATCTCTCTCTTTCTCCTCCCCTCATCTCTCTCTTTCTCCTCCCCATCTCTCTCTTTCTCCTCCCCATCTCTCCTTCCCTTCCCATCTCTCTCGTTCTCTCCCCATCTCTCTCTTTCTCCTCCCCATCTCTCTCTTTCTCTCCTCCCCATCTCTCTCTTTCTCCTCCCCATCTCTCTCTTTCTCCTCCCCATCTCTCTCTTTCTCCTCCCCAAATCTTCTCTCTTTCTCCTCCCCATCTCTCTCTTTCTCCTCCCCATCTCTCTCTTTCTCCTCCCATCTCTCTCTTTACTCCTTCCCCAATCTCTCTCTTTCCTCCTCCCCATCTCTCTCTTTCTCCTTCCCCATCTCTCTCTTTCTCCTCCCCATCTCTCTCTTTCTCCTCCCCATCTCTCTCTTTCTCCTCCCCATCGTCTCTCTTTCTCCTTCCCATCTCTCTCTTTCCTTCCTCCCCATCTCTCTCTTTCTCCTCCCCATCTCTCTCTTTCTCCTCCCCATCTCTCTCTTTCTCCTTCCCATCTCTCTCTTCTCTCCTCCCCATCTCTCTCTTTCTCCTTCCCCATCTCTCTCTTTCTCTCCTCCCCATCTCTCTCTTTCTCCTCCCCATCTCTCTCTTTCTCCTCCCCATCTCTCTCTTTCTCCTCCCCATCTCTCTCTTTCTCCTCCCCATCTCTCTCTTTCTCCTCCCCATCTCTCTCTTTCTCCGTCCCATCTCTCTCTTTCTCCTTCCCATCTCTCTCTTTCTCCTCCCCTCTCTCTCTTTCTCCTCCCCATCTCTCTCTTTCTCCTCCCCATCTCTCTCTTTCTCCTCCCCATCTCTCTCTTTCTCCTCCCATCTCTCTCTTTCTCCTCCCCATCTCTCTCTTTCTCCTCCCCATCTCCCCATCTCTTCTTCTCCTCCCCATCTCTCTCTTTCTCCTTCCCATCTCTCTCTTTCTCCTCCCCATCTCTCTCTTTCTCCTCCCATCTCTCTCTTTCTCCTCCCCATCTCTCTCTTTCTCCTCCCCATCTCTCTCTTTCTCCTCCCCATCTCTCTCTTTCTCCTCCCCATCTCTCTCTTTCTCCTCCCCATCTCTCTCTTTCTCCTCCCCATCTCTCTCTTTCTCCTCCCCATCTCTCTCTTTCTCCGTCCCATCTCTCTCTTTCTCCTCCCCATCTCTCTCTTTCCTCCTTCCCATCTCCTCCTCTTTCTCCTCCCCATCTCTCTCTTTCTCCCTCCCCATCTCTCTCTTTCTCCTTCCCATCTCTCTCTTTCTCCTCCCCATCTCTCTCTTTCTCCTCCCCATCTCTCTCTTTCTCCTTCCCATCTCTCTCTTTCCTCCTCCCCATCTCTCTCTCTTCTCCTTCCCATCTCTCTCTTTCTCCTCCCCATCTCTCTCTTTCTCCTCCATCTCCCATCTCTCTCTTTCTCCTCCCCATCTCTCTCTTTCTCCTTCCCATCTCTCTCTTTCTCCTTCCCCATCTCTCTCTTTCTCCTCCCCATCTCTCTCTTTCTCCTCCCCATCTCTCTCTTTCTCCTTCCCCATCTCTCTCTTTCTCCTCCCCATCTCTCTCTTTCTCCTTCCCATCTCTCTCTTTCTCCTCCCCATCTCTCTCTTTCTCCTCCCATCTCTCTCTTTCTCCTTCCCCATCTCTCTCTTTCTCCTCCCCATCTCTCTCTTTCTCTCTCCCCATCTCTCTCTTTCTCCTCCCCATCTCTCTCTTTCTCCTCCCCATCTCTCTCTTTCTCCTCCCCATCTCTCTCTTTCTCCTCCCCATCTCTCTCTTTCTCCTCCCCATCTCTCTCTTTCTCCTCCCCATCTCTCTCTTTCTCCTCCCCATCTCTCTCTTTCTCCTCCCCATCTCTCTCTTTCTCCTCCCCATCTCTCTCTTTCTCCTCCCCATCTCTCTCTTCTCCTCCCCATCTCTCTCTTTCTCCTTCCCATCTCTCTCTTTCTCCTCCCCATCTCTCTCTTTCTCCTCCCCATCTCTCTCTTTCTCCTCCCATCTCTCTCTTTCTCCTCCCCATCTCTCTCTTTCTCCTCCCCATCTCTCTCTTTCTCCTCCCCATCTCTCTCTTTTCTCCTCCCCATCTCTCTCTTCTCCTCCCATCTCTCTCTTTCTCCTCCCCATCTCTCTCTTTCTCCTCCCCATCTCTCTCTTTCTCCTCCCCATCTCTCTCTTTCTCCTCCCCATCTCTCTCTTTCTCCTCCCCATCTCTCTCTTTCTCCTTCCCCATCTCTCTCTTTCTCCTCCCCATCTCTCTCTTTCTCCTCCCCATCTCTCTCTTTCTCCTCCCCATCTCTCTCTTTCTCCTCCCCATCTCTCTCTTTCTCCTTCCCATCTCTCTCTTTCTCCTCCCCATCTCTCTCTTTCTCCTCCCATCTCTCTCTTTCTCCTCCCCATCTCTCTCTTTCTCCTCCCCATCTCTCTCTTTCTCTTCTCTCCCATCTCTCTCTTTCTCCTTCCATCTCTCTCTTTCTCTCCCATCTCTCTCTTTCTCCTCCCCATCTCTCTCTTTCTCCTCCCCATCTCTCTCTTTCTCCTCCCCATCTCTCTCTTTCTCCTTCCCCATCTCTCTCTTTCTCCTCCCCATCTCTCTCTTTCTCCTCCCCATCTCTCTCTTTCTCCTCCCCATCTCTCTCTTTCTCCTCCCCATCTCTCTCTTTCTCCTTCCCATCTCTCTCTTTCTCCTCCCCATCTCTCTCTTTCTCCTCCCCATCTCTCTCTTTCTCCTCCCCATCTCTCTCTTTCTCCTCCCCATCTCTCTCTTTCTCCTCCCCATCTCTCTCTTTCTCCTCCCCATCTCTCTCTTTCTCCTTCCCATCTCTCTCTTTCTCCTCCCATCTCTCTCTTTCTCCTCCCCATCTCTCTCTTTCTCCTCCCCATCTCTCTCTTTCTCCTCCCCATCTCTCTCTTTCTCCTTCCCATCTCTCTCTCTCTCTCTTTCTCCTCCCATCTCTCTCTTTCTCCTCCCCATCTCTCTCTTTCTCCTCCCCATCTCTCTCTTTCTCCTCCCCATCTCTCTCTTTCTCCTCCCCATCTCTCTCTTTCTCCTTCCCATCTCTCTCTTTCTCCTCCCATCTCTCTCTTTCTCCTCCCCATCTCTCTCTTTCTCCTCCCCATCTCTCTCTTTCTCCTCCCCATCTCTCTCTTTCTCCTTCCCATCTCTCTCTTTCTCCTCCCCATCTCTCTTTCTCCTCCCCTCTCTCTCTTTCTCCTCCCCATCTCTCTCTTTCTCCTCCCCATCTCTCTCTTTCTCCTCCCCATCTCTCTCTTTCTCCTTCCCCATCTCTCTCTTTCTCCTCCCCATCTCTCTCTTTTCTCCTCCCCATCTCTCTCTTTCTCCTCCCATCTCTCTCTTCTCCTCCCCATCTCTCTCTTTCTCCTCCCCATCTCTCTCTTTCTCCTCCCCATCTCTCTCTTTCTCCTCCCCATCTCTCTCTTTCTCCTCCCCATCTCTCTCTTTCTCCTCCCCATCTCTCTCTTTCTCCTCCCCATCTCTCTCTTTCTCCTCCCCATCTCTCTCTTTCTCCTTCCCATCTCTCTCTTTCTCCTCCCCATCTCTCTCTTTCTCCTCCCCATCTCTCTCTTTCTCCTCCCCATCTCTCTCTTTCTTCTCCGTCCCATCTCTCTCTTTCTCCTTCCCATCTCTCTCTTCTCCTCCCCATCTCTCTCTTTCTCCTCCCCATCTCTCTCTTTCTCCTCCCCATCTCTCTCTTTCTCCTCCCCATCTCTCTCTTTCTCCTTCCCATCTCGCTCTTTCTCCTCCCCATCTCTCTCTTTCTCCTCCCCATCTCTCTCTTTCTCCTCCCCATCTCTCTCTTTCTCCTCCCCATCTCTCTCTTTCTCCTTCCCATCTCTCTCTTTCTCCTCCCCATCTCTCTCTTTCTCCTCCCCATCTCTCTCTTTCTCCTCCCCATCTCTCTCTTTCTCCTCCCCATCTCTCTCTTTCTCCTCCCCATCTCTCTCTTTCTCCTCCCCATCTCTCTCTTTCTCCTTCCCATCTCTCTCTTTCTCCTCCCCATCTCTCTCTTTCTCCTCCCCATCTCTCTCTTTCTCCTCCCCATCTCTCTCTTCTCCTCCCCATCTCTCTCTTTCTCCTTCCCATCTCTCTCTTTCTCCTCCCCATCTCTCTCTTTCTCCTCCCCATCTCTCTCTTTCTCCTCCCCATCTCTCTCTTTCTCCTCCCCATCTCTCTCTTTCTCCTCCCCATCTCTCTCTTTCTCCTCCCCATCTCTCTCTTTCTCCTCCCCATCTCTCTCTTTCTCCTCCCCATCTCTCTCTTTCTCCTCCCCATCTCTCTCTTTCTCCTCCCCATCTCTCTCTTTCTCCTTCCCCATCTCTCTCTTTCTCCTCCCCATCTCTCTCTTTCTCCTCCCCATCTCTCTCTTTCTCCTCCCATCTCTCTCTTTCTCCTCCCCATCTCTCTCTTTCTCCTCCCCATCTCTCTCTTTCTCCTCCCCATCTCTCTCTTTCTCCTTCCCATCTCTCTCTTTCTTCCTCCCCATCTCTCTCTTTCTCCTCCCCATCTCTCTCTTTCTCCTCCCCATCTCTCTCTTTCTCCTCCCCATCTCTCTCTTTCTCCTCCCCATCTCTCTCTTTCTCCTCCCCATCTCTCTCTTTCTCCTCCCCATCTCTCTCTTTCTCCTCCCCATCTCTCTCTTTCTCCTCCCCATCTCTCTCTTTCTCCTTCCCAGTGCTGCTGGGGATCGCCATGTGTCTCCGGCCAATCCCACTCCATTCCTCCCTCTCCCTGTATCCCTTTTTCCTCCCCCATCACCTCCTTCCCAGGGTTACCTAGACCCCGAGTACTGAAAAGAGCGACGTGTTCAGCTTCGGCATCGTGCTGCTGGAGATTGCCACAGGTCTCCGGCCAATCAGTGACAACCAGCACATCCGCCAGCTGGTCATCAAGCGCGTCATGGCGGACGGCAGAGGCGCGACAGCTGTCATCGACCCTGCTCTGCTGACTGCGGTAGGGGGAGCGATGGAGGGAGAAGAAGGAGGGAATGTGGAGGTGTTAGTGGATGGCGCAGGGCAATCCCAAGGGGGAAGCTTATGTGGTATTCCCGAGGAGGTGGAGGCGACGTTTGAGTGGTTTCTCAAGCTGGGGATGCGGTGCAGCGCCAGGCTGTCGCAGGACCGCCCCGCCATGCAACACGTGGCAGCTGAGTTGGACGCCATGCGGGCGAGGGTTATCCAGATTGTGAGGCAACGGGGAGGAGCCAATGATGCTGGCAATGATCCTGGCAGGGATGGTGGTAGTGGTGCTGGCACTGGTGTTGGTGACGCTGCTTCTGCTGGTGCTGGTGCTGGTGCTAGTGGTGCTGGTACTGGTGTCTCCTCTGCTACTTTCAACACCAGCGCTAGCAGTAAGGCTAACACTGGTTCTAGCACTGGCGTTAGTACCACTGGTGCTACTAGCTCTGCTTTCACGGGTACTGGTGCGATTAGTGAGGAGAGATTCTGGGAGGACATGGCAAACGAAGGGGCTCTGGTGCCGGGGTTCAATGACGATGAGGAAGAGATGGAGTACGTTCAAGAGGTTTACGACAATATGACGCGAGAGAAGGGTGAGGGACAGGGAAGGCAGGGAACAGGAGGGGTGTCTGGGAGTGTGGGCGGTGGAGGGTACACGAGCAGCAGCAGTGAGGGTGTGTGGAGGGCAGGGGGATCAACCACGGGTTGGACGAGTGACTGTGCCCCGAGTAGGGAGATGTGACACGTGGCAGGCTTGGGAGGAGGAGGTCTGGTTTTACCAGGGCAGTGTGGGCAGTGTGGGCAGTGTGGGCAGTGTGGGCAATGTGGGCAGTGTGTGCAATGTGGGCAGTGTGGGCAGTGTGGGCAGTGTGGGCAGTGTGGGGTACACGATCAGCAGTAGTGAGTGGAGAGCAGGGGGGTCGACGACGGGTTGGACGAGTGATAGTGCCCCGAGCAGGGAGATGTGAGACGTGGCAAGCTTGGGAGGAGGAGTTCAGGTTTTACATGGGCTGGAAGTTGAGAATTAGAGAATCAAGAGGCAGGGGAGCAGAGTTCTTAGTTGTCTCAACAAGCAAGCTTGGGAGGCGCAGGTCTGGTTTTACTGGAGCCGGAACTCCAGAAGGAGGACCAAGAGGTGGGAAGGAGGAGAGAGGAAGGGTTGGCAAGCGTGTGGGGGGTGGATGGTATACGAGCAGCGACGGTGAAGGTTACGAAGGTCACGAAACACCATATGCAGTGAAAGACCTGCCTTATTAAGCATTTTATGCGATGCCGTCCACTTGAGTGACTCAATAATTTGCTCCACGTGAGCAATGTGCCTTCAATACTCTTGTTCTTTGCGGGATGTGTTCGTGTGTGTGTGAGCATTTGCTGTGTGGTTTTTTAATAAACTCCTGCTATTGCAAATTGTTACGGGTGCAATGAATCGAGGTAGCGAGGATTGCACTAGAGTGTTCACTGAGTACAAAATATGAGCGAAGGCATGAGCGAATACTTATACGCGAAAATGTGCAAACGGTAACGCGGTGCGTGCGAGCTAGCTAGTGCTACGCTGGCGCGAGGTTCGGGCTAGTCCCGAAGCGTAGGCCGACTCGGCTACTCCAGCAGTGGGAGGTTTGGTGAAACAGTGCGCGCGAAGTTGGCGAAGCCCCGTTATCAGTAACAGGCGAACAACGGCTGCTGCTGTATGCGATGTGGACGGTCGCGGTAAGGAATAGCAAGAAAATTCCTTACAATAACTCATAACAAAACAGTTTTTACCTTACTAAGTCCATGTGGTGTTCCTACTTTTTGTGAGAGGATGCTATGCTATGCTGCAATCAGAAGTTGATCGTCCCTAGGATCACCTCAGGAAGGTTCGCACACGACTGAGTAGTGGTGGTGGGCCTTGACCTCAATAGCAGAGTGGATGTAAAATGCTTGAGATGATTGAAACATGCAAGTACAAAGGTACGAATCGACAAAGCTAGCCATGTACTCTAAGGGGTACATTCCCTTATTGCAGCGAAATCCAACCGTGCGACTCCAGACAGTTACGAAACTATCCGAGCAGAATCCTCGCCACTACTGCTGCCTGATGCTGTCTGCCCGACGGCCCAGATCCTTTTCGTAACCGTACGACGCTTCTCGTCACTTCTACCTTTCCGCCTTCATCCTTGGTAGTGTGTGCTTCGATTGCTGCGGTAAGGAGTGCACAGTGATGCTTTAATAATTACTATTCGTAACACCCCCCTTCACTCCTGGCCGTAGCGAGTCTTGACCCGCTTGACTACTCCGCTGAGTTCGGAGCAGTGCTGGTACTGCTGACGTGACAGCTTCTTCGTGAGAAAGTCAGCTGCCATGTCACCCGTCGGACAGTAGGTGAGGTCAACCTTGCCCTTGTCAACTTCGTCTTTGACGAAGAAGTACCGCAGCACGATGTGTTTGGTGCGGTTGACGAATCCAGGCTTGTTCGCGATCCTGATCGCGCTCTGGTTGTCACAGTGTAGGCGAAAATTCGCCTCTTGCAGCAGCTCCTGAAGGTAGAGGCCTTCGTGAACAGCTGCTGTTGCTGCGATGAACTCGGCCTCCGCTGATGACAGGGCGACCAGCTCCTGTTTTTGCGAATTCCAGGAGATGGGGCCACTGGGCTCAAGGCGGAAGAGGAAGCCTGTCCTGGACTGTCGATTGTCGGGGTCAGCGGCATGATCAGCGTCCACGTAGCCGATGAGGTTGAAGGATGAGGTTGGGATGGTGGAGTAGCAGAGCCCAACATTGGGCGTGGAGATGAAGAATTGAAGTGCCCGCTGAAGATCTAGCAGATTCTCAGCCGTTGGTTTGCGAGAGTATTGGGCCAGCTGGCTCGCGATGTAGGAGAGATTGGGTTTGCAGGTGACAGAGGCAAAGAGTAGGCATCCCAGCTGCTGCTGGTAGGTATGAAGCCCAGAGGGGACAGGGCTTTGTTGTCAGGCTTGTGGTTAGGTCCTGGAGTGCGGTAAGGGGTGGAGAGTGGTGCAGGTGCATTGTTGAAGCCCTTGCCAAGTTCCTCTGCATACTTGGCTGCTGAAAGGTGAATGGCTTCTAGCGAGTAGGAGATGTTGAGCCCAAGGAACTGCTTCACGTCATGGTTGCAGGTAATATCGACGCACCCCGCGAGGTTCTTCTCGAACTGCTCAAGCAATTCGTTGCTTGACCATGTGTAGAGGAGGTCGTCGACGTAGACCGTGAGTATAATGTATTCGCCGCGGAAATCGCGGCGATACATCCCGGGATCATGAGGCACCTGTTTGAAGCCTATCTCGAGCAGGATGTTGTGCAGGTACTGCTGCCATAGCCTTGGCGCTCGTTTAATTCCGTAAAGGGACTTTCGAAGCTGGCACACGCGTGAGTCTCCCTCACCGTATGTATGCGGCTGCTCCACGTAGATTACAGCAGCTACTAACGCGTAGAGGAACGCGTTCTTCACATCAATCTGTCGGAGCGGGAGGAGTCGTGCGGCAGCGATGGCGAGGAGGATTCTGGCGGAGGTGCGACGGCTGACCGGCGCAAACGTCTGGTCGAATTCGATGCCATGCCTCTGGTCGTAGCCATATACGACCCATCGCGCCTTGAATCGTTCAATCGTGCCGTTTGCTGCGGTCTTCACGCGGAAGACCCGTTTCCCGTAGAGAATCCTTCTCCCCTTGATTGCCGCTCGATCGACGAGCACCCAGGTGTCGCGAGACTCAAGTGCCTTGATTTCCGCATCCATCACTTTGCGCCACTCCTTGTTGTGTGGTCCCGTGAGTGCTTGGCACAGATTCTTCGGCTGGATGACACGCGGCGCCGTTGAGGTGGCAGTGTGGAGCCCGAGAAGTTGAAGTCCCGAAATGGTGTTGTCGTGGCGGTGCTGCGGGATGACTTCCTGCACATCGTCATCGTCACTTTCTGGTTCATGTGGTGCTGGCGGTGCTGCGCCTCCGCCGCTTCCGCTTCCGCTTCCGCCTCTGCCTGCTGCGCCTGCTCCTCCTCCAGGAGAATCGTCGCCGTCGTCGCGATCGCCTCTTGTGAACTCGCCTCTGGGGTCCTGCTCCAAAATGGCTGCTGCAGCTTCGTCCTCGGGTGAAGCATAGATGTGTCCGTTGTTGGCGTAGACGCGATTCGCGTTCGCCTGCTTGTCTTCACGAAATTGCCGAAGGAAGAGCCGCTCATAGAAGATGACGTCACGCGCATTTTTGACCTTCTGGCTCATGAGATCCAGGATGAGCCACGCCTTGTGTTCGTCAGATATATATGCCTTAGCCTATGTAGGCTGTAGTGGGGTAGACACTAAAGGGTACAGCTTTCATATTTGTATCTCACACTTTCCTAGTTCATTCATTCCTGTTTCAATCTTCACATGGTATAGAGCGGGTTCCCTCATGGGACCGTTCCTTCCTAAGGGCCCACCATAATATTTTTTTTTTAGCTGCCCGAAGCGCGTCTCGCGCCCTGCCCTAAATTTTTTTTCGCGACCCCCTAGCGGCCCCTAACGGCCCCTACGCGGCCCCTACGCGACCCTACGCCGCCCCTAAACGGCCCCGTCGCGGCCCCGTACCTGACGCGGACCCGTCCCTGACACGGCCCCGCCCCTACCCGGCCCCTACGCGGCCCCTACGCGGCCCCTACGCGGCCCCTACGCGGCCCCCCACGCGGCCCCCCACGCGGCCCCTACGCGGCCCCTACGCCGCCCCTAAACGGCCCGATCTGGCCCCGTCCCTGACGCGGCCCCTACGCGGCCCCTACGCCGCCCCTACGCGGCTCCTACGCGGCCCCTACACGGCCCGACCCGGCCCCGTACCTGACGCGGCCCCTACCTGACGCGGCCCCGTACCTGACGCGGCCCCTACGCGGCCCCTACGCCGCCCCTAAAAGGCTCCGTCCCGGCCCTACCCCGGCCCCGTCTCGGCCCCGTCCCGGACCTGCCCCGGCCCCGACCCTGTCCAGGCCCTACCTCGGCCCCGTCCCGGACCTGCCCCGGCCCCGACCCCATCCCGGACCTGCCCCGGCCCCGACCCTGTCCCGGCCCCGTTGCTGCCCCGTCCCGGACCCTGCTCGGCCCCGACCCTGTCCCGGACCTGCCCCGGCCCTGACCCTGTCCCGGCCCCGTTGCTGCCCCGTCCCGGACCCTGCTCGGCCCCGACCCTGTCCCGGCCCTGTCACGGCCCCGACCCAGTCCCGGACCTGTCGGCTCCGCCCCTGGTAAGAGCCTAGCCGGGCCGAGCCGGGCGGCCGAGCCGCACTGCTTTGACGAGTCGCCCTGCCGAGTCGCACTGTCCTGCCTCGCTCCGTTGCACTGCTGCCGCTGCTAGTCTGTTGCTACTCCTATCATGGCTAGTCCTAGTCTTCTCACCTTTGATGCTGAGGGTCGAGCGGTTGACTTTGATGTCTGGCTAGATGATCTGCAGCTTTTCCTTCAGTGCGATAACAAGGATGGTCTCTCCCTGTTTGATCTTACGTCGGGCGCCTCTACTGCCCCTGCTGCTGATGCTGACAGTACCGTTCGCTCGCAGTGGCTCACGCGCGATGCTGCTGCCCGCCTTGCTGTGCGTAGTCACCTACCGTCTACTGAGCGCGCGCACTTTAGTCAGTACAAGAGTGCTAAGACTCTGTACGACGCAGTAGTTGCACGTTACTCTTCCCCTGCCACTGCTGCGCTTAGCCGCCTCATGCTACCATACCTGTTCCCTGACCTCGCTGCTTTTGCCACAGTCACTGACCTCATTACGCACCTCCGCACTAGTG